ATCTACGACTGCTGATTCTTCTACAATTAACGTCGCAGGTTACGAAGTTTAACTTCTTCCGCGCGGAGGTACTCCACGCACTATTTTTTTATTTTCAAATTTAGTGGATAGCAATTGTAAAAAATTAGTGAAAACAATGCGACGGATTTAAGGTTATGTCAAGGTACGTCTCTTGTGAATATCAATTGATTGTTAGGTTTTCTCTTCTGAAATTACATTATGACGCATTCACATACATTATTAATACATTTTCCAGGGCGAGACTATGAGACAACCACAAGCACTTCCCACTGGTTCAAGAGGTCCTCCAGGGAAAAATGCACAATATTACCGTGATTACAGAGCACGGAAGCGAGCGGAGCAAGAAAAAGAACCACAAGAGAAGAACCCCATATACCTAAGGAAGAACAACTTAAATTTTTTTTTCGGGAATTATTATTTTTTTTAAACTATTGATATATGTTATTTTAAAGCATTGATATACCTAGGGGAGAGTTGGACAAAACGGGATACTATTATTGTTTTTATTTGCTACGGAATATCTGTTAAGGAAAACCATACATTATTTTTTTTGGAGCTACAACATTTATTGAAGCACACAAAAAACATATTTTCAACTAATTTTAATGACTGTGAAATAGAAAAAAAAATTAATTTCCAAACTCTTACATATCCCGTTTTAGCAAACATGGGTTGGATAAAACGGGATAGGTTTTACAATGTTTAATTTTTTGCATATTATGCTACATTTGCTTTTAAAGACTATGAGTTTTCAAACATAAAGGCTTATTTCCGCAATTTTCGTGGTCGCGATGTGCCTTGTGCTTTTAAGGGAGATTTCTTAGCAGCCTTTTCTTCAATTCTTTTAGCTCTTTTTTGTAGTTTAATCATCCTTTCCTTTTCTTCCATTTCTAATTCACTTTCATATGGAGATGGTGTTATTACTACAGTTTTTTTCTTTCTTTTATCAGCTATTTTTTCTGAGCGAGGTCCTTTTACTTGAGGTACAGGAAAAACACACTTTGAAGAAATTGAAAAGGGTAACTTAGGGGGATAACAGGAGGGTTCTAATCCTTTCTCCCCTGAAAATGTTGCAGATTGGTCTTCTCCTACGATGTCCCTCGAAGATGTGTGTCCAGCCGAGTTAAAACAATTATTAAAACTAACTCTCCATTGATGTCGCAACATGTCTGAAAGACTCTTTAATAATCAAGTATTTAAATTCTTCAGTAAATAAAGAGAAGAAATTCTTTTTAGAATTGAATGTAGATTGAATTGAGATATCCAGAAAATTAAGAAGTTTATATGTAAAGAAGCTCAAGTCTTCTTCAGAGAAATACATTACAATTAGTTCTAAAGAAAGATGTGAAATCCTAGAGTCGAAAATAAAATACTTAATAATAAATGTTAATAAACAAATTTTGCTTTACAATATAAGGAGACTAAATTTTTCAAAAATATATGTAGCTATTATAAAAAAGTTTTTCAGAAAGTCTAGGCCTACATTAATATACGGGTATTTTAAAATGCAATAATCTAACAAATAAATAGGTGGATAAAACGGTACATAAAAAACTCTATCCCGTTTTATCCAACTCATAAGTGTCCCATTTTGTCCGACTCCGACACTTTTTGAAACAAACATGGCTGCTGCCTAAATGTGAAAAGAAAATTAAAAAGACTGCGCATAAAAATATTGGTAAATAAATGGTTAATCAAATTTAACACTCACCAGAATTTTATTCCCTTGTGTGTACACAGTACAATGTAAGAAAACAACGCGCGTAAATGTAGAAAATGGCAAGAAAATAGAGTAAAAAAGTTCTGAGACTTATAACTTTCTATCAAATAGTGATCTCGAGGCGGGACGCACCGAGAATAATATAATCACGGTCGAATAACACGTTTCTGTCGTTGTCCACTAGATAGCTACAATAGTCTGGTTCCTAGGCGACGTATCCCGTTTTGTCCGACTATCCCGATTTATCCAACTCTCCCCTATTTGAAAGACTCCATATGACTAAGAAAGAACAACTTAAAAAAAAAAATAATTCTGTAATTGTTATTTTTTTAAATCATTGATATACGTATTTGAACGACACCTTACATTTAGAAAAGAAACTTAAAATTTTTTTCTTTTACTAATTTTTTTTTAATCATTGATATATGTAAAGCGCGGAATCATTTGAAGTGAGGAGTTTTGTATTTATAGACCTCGTTGAAGTAGTTTCTTGAAATATGTCGACCACTGCTTTCAGAAGTGATACCTAATATTATCATTTAATAATTAAGAAAAAATAATAAATATCTAGTAATCTTCAAATAATTAAAAAAAAAGGGAAAAAAATTCAATGCTAAAAATGAAGAAAAGTTAAAAGCTTTGTAATAATTAAAAAGTAATCTTATTTCAATCACTGGCGTTTGATTTCCACGATTCTCTGGGCAAATATCCTACTTATCCTATATCATTATGATGACGCTGCTATATAATCAGGGTCATAACTGCGTAGTTGGGGCCCCAACGGTCAAGGGATACCCATATGGCAAACCACATCACATTTTTCCAAAATTAAGTTTCTCTCTTTTTCTTTTATAGGAAAGAAATTGTGTGAAGAGAGAATTTCAGAAATTTTTTCTTTTTGTAATAGCATATTTACTTTAACATAAAGGGAAATATATAAGGAAGGGTAAAAAACGGTGAAAAGACTTAAAAGAGCAATTGGTCCCCATAGATTGGACAGGAGAGCTATCCAAAATGTGGACCACATAATGTTCATATTATTTTCTGCGTATCTCGCCATATCTCGAGAATTTTTTAAGAGAATTGAAAAAATTTTTCACACTATTATAAAATTTTTTTATCCAAAGATAATTCCTTTTCAAAAAATAAACGTTAATTAATACTTATTATTATTTCATTTAATAATAGCCGAAATTTTTTTTTTGATTGTAAGGTATGCAATATTTTACACAACTTTAAAGTAAGTAATTTAACGTAAGTAAGAATAGTAAGTAAACTAACAAACTACGGGGACCATATTAACCTAGATTGCTGCTATCCCCTATATTTTGAGGTCAGAAATCCAAATCAATCAAAAAATTAAAAAATAAAGTAAAATGAAAAAAAAAAAAAAATTATGTTTATTCAGAAACAGTGCGTTTTTGTGTCTGATTTCGTCGCTTAAAACATCGTTTGCATTAATTAATTAGCTTATTTGAGGTCAACCCCTCTAACCATTAAGATTTTTTTGAAACACTGTACAGATCAAAAAAAAAAAAAAAAAAAAAAAAAAAAAAAAAAAAAAAAAAAAAAAAAAAAAAAANAAAAAAGAAAGAAAGAAAGGAAAGAAAAAAGAACAGACTATCCTGAATAATTTTGGATCTAATGATCGGATCTTCACGTTCTAAGACTCCATCTTAATAGTTTGAGGGTGTGAACAAGCTAATTAATTGGTGCACACGATATTTTAAGTTACGAAATCAGACATAAAAACGCATTTTCTCCGAATAAATATACCTTTTTCCCCCCCAATGGATTATGATTCATGACACCCAAAATATAGTGGGGAAGCAGCAATCTGAGAAATATTGTCCCAAATTATTTGGTCAGGAGAGCGATCCAAAGTTTGGACCCCCTACTGATAATTATTTCGATATATCTTGAGAACTTTTTAAGCAAATTGAAAAAATTTTGAACATAATTATTAAATTCGTTAATCCAAAGATAATTACATGCAAAAGTTAAATTTAATTTTGCTTATTATTTTATTTAATAATAGTCGAAAAAATTATTTGAGGTGTTCGATGAGCCAGGATGGATTGAATGGACTTGTTTTACTGTCTATTGAAAATAAAAGAGCACGAAATATTGACTTTAACAATAGAATCAATGAATTTGCGGTAAAAAAAAAAGGCCTGGAGAAATAAATTTTAGGTTAATAATGTAGTTTTGTCTAAATTTTTTATTTCAGATAAATACAAAAATTCTTTAAAAAATTTATGATGGGAAATTTTAAGAATTGCTATGATTTTATTATTAATTAACAACAGATTGGCAATTTTTAGTGGACTGTGTTTCAAATTATTGATGGATTTATATTTTGTTCTAATTGTAGACATAATATGTTATGTCTACAACATAGCATGTACTACATACTACATATTATGTCTAATTGTAGACATAATATGTTTTATAACTTTTTATTTATTTCATATTAATAATTTTCTTTTACCTTTTTTCAAAATTTTTATTCCTATGAAATCTTTTTTTACAGATTTACTTTAAATATTTTACAAAAACTAAAACTAATCTAAATTTTTAAATATTAAATCTTTATTCTAGACATTTATTTTAATGCAACCTGATATATACCTTTCTCAACAAACTTAAGTTTATAAATCTATCTTTCAAATTAGAAACATAAAATACGTTTAAATATCTGTATTAAGTATGTGTTTAGTAATTACTTTTTAGATGTCTTAAAGTCTTTAACACTTATTTGTGTTTTGTAACCAAAAATGAATTTTTTTAACTATGACAATATTTTATATTCTAGTGTTAAATTTAAAACTTATAATATTCTGTAATTCCATTTATAAGTGAACAAGTAACTAATAATTTTAAATATATTCGATAACACGATACATAAATAGCTAAAATGATGATTAGAGATGCAGTACAGAAAGTTTTAGAAAGAGTTGAGAGAAAATTTACGGCACTAGTTATAATGGATTAAAAGTGAAAAGAAATCAGATTTAAAAGAAAAACAAAGTCAAAATTTCTCATAGATAATATAAATTGTTAAAAACACTCCTTATTCTAATTGATAACAAATTACATTCTCGTTTACACACAATGGCTGCATTCCATGAATCATATTCTACTGTGGACATCCTCATTCACAAACTTCATGAGTCACTGCAACAGTCTTTTTATTTGGCAAGCGCCAAAAACGATAAACTCTGAAAATGTAGCAAACCTAAAACGGCTTAACGTTTGGGAAAGCATGGCATTCCTGGAGAGAGGCTTGCGTCTGGCTTTGTTTATTTCCTACATCTTGAGATGACAGAAATGTGTTCATTCTGTTGAAAACACAAGTCTTGGCGGACATCAGATTCATTCCGCTGAGCAATCGTTATGAAATAAACACGTGAAACATTTTTCCACAACGTACGTAGAATTCATCCATCGAACTGTATTGTTTTAAACTCGCTAATCGAAGATTTTTATGAATGAAATGTTTGAATTCGTGTGTGTGTGATCTTAGAATAAAGTGTAGCGCGAAGCCATCGTTGAAGTTTAAGTGAAGGTGAGTCCTTATTTTATTTTTATTTTCTCGATTTGATTTTTATGTTTTATGTGCTTCGTTTTGAAGTTCGTAAATTATAAGAGATAACGTAATCCAAGCCGGTATATGAGAAATACATATGTGTTTAATATCGTCTGCGTGTTAAGATATTCCCCGTGTTTAAAAATATTAAAATAACTATCTTTAAAGATTAATAGATAATTTAATACTAGACAATGTTTAATATTAAGAAAGCAAATTAGAGTTGGTTTATGTGGAATGCGTCTATCTTTTAAATCGTCTGCGTGTTTATTTTTCTATCTAGAAAGGAAGAATATAGAACGTTTAAGGAACAAATAATCTTTATTCAAAGTTTGTTTATGGTTTATTTGTATATATTTAATTCTTTTGCTAAAGAAAGCTGATAAATGTGATGATGAATATATGTCTAATATCTGCGCGCAAGTATTTCCATTATTAAAGGAAGAGATTTAAAAAAAATTTTAAAGAACAAATAATTTTATTCTGAAATTAGTTTACGGAATGTTTTCCTTAAATATTTAGTTGTTTTTTTTTTTTCATCTAGAACAACAGAAAATGTCATTAGCATTTAAATCGTCAAGTTTAGCTATATTATTATTAATTCGTTGTGATTGTAAATTTTAAAATAAAATTTTTGTAGGATTTACAGAAGTTTTGTAAGATAGTTTGAGTACGATTTTTAATCTTTTTTTTTTATTGTTCTCGCATATATTTTATAGTTTTAACTTTGAGGAAGACTAATATTTTGTAAACAAATATTTTAATACGAAACTGAAAAAAGTTTATTAAATTTAGTTATTGTTTAATTTGATATAGATATTTAAATTTGTATTTGGTTCAATCAGTCGATTTTATTTATGATTTTTCAATATAACATTCCATTTTTTATACTTTATCCTCATTATACTTTTTGTTTCCCTTTCATTTAATTTTCTATGAAATTTGCGTTTTAGTTACCATTTTTTTTTACATGGTAATTTTCAATGAAAGAAAGTTGAGGAATTAGCAACTAATCAAAATCCTTTTTTCTATTGATGAGTAACAAACTAATCTATGAATTGAATAAAATTTCACATAATTATTTTTTTACTTAACTTTACAGTGTTAACTGCAATTTTAAGCCAGGTATTTTTTTTATGAACGATGCTAAACTGTTAATTAATTGGCTAAATAGTTTAAAAATTAAAATAAATCGATATTTAAGAATTATATTATCATATTTTTAAAATGTATTTCAAATTGGAAGAAACAGTTGGTTTTATTTTAAATACTCAAAATATAAGCTTGAAGTACAAAGTTTTAATATCATTACAGTTAATGTAGTATATCTACTTAAATATAGTTTTATAATTTTGTAATAAAATCTAAAATGCACAATACGAAAAAAAAAGTGATTAACTTTTGATCTAATAATCTGTCTTTTATGTAAGGCCCAATCTTGGGATTGGGTCGTAGTACGTGAACCAATAATTATAGGTTCAAGGGCATCACCTTAAATATGCAAATATATATAAAAATTTGTCAGAATTAGATAAACCCCTCCAAATATACATACTGCAACTACTTAACAAACTACGCTACTGCATAAAAACTTAGTGATTTTAAGCTATTTAGCACTAATATTGAAATAAAAAGATTGATTCTAAAAATACAACTATACAGTGCAAAAATGAACACTTGCGGTATTAATCGGAAATTAAGTCTTTAAACAATCGCTGATCATTGGAAAAATTATCAAATTTCTTTTCCTTGCTAGGCAAGAATTTTGATATAAGTTCTGTGATTTTTCAATAAAATGAACAAAATGCAATTTTTTTTATTCTTACGTACAGTAAACTTTTTTACAGGCCACAGTTGACTATAGTTATTGGGCTACATCTGGCTCATGTACCGCATGTTTGACATGCATGCTTTATGGAAAGAAAAAAAAAAAATGTTTGGCCACAGTAACTTAAATTCCTTCATGTGCATACGTAGTTGAAAACCAGTCGCCCATTCTCTGTCGAAGAAACAAATAGATGCCAATTTTTCACTTTCACATCTTGACTTTCTTTTGTTTATTGTCGAATAACAGCATTCATGACACGCCTTTCTTTTTCTGTTTTTCATAACTGGATCTGTCGTTTTATGATTTTTTCCCCCTTCTCTCCTGTTTTATTGTTAGAATTGTCCTTGGAGGTAAGGCATGATTTGCTTTTCTTTCACAAAAACAAATCCGCTATTCTATGGAGGTCCCGTTTCCTGTTTTTGATAGATTACTACTTAGGCAATATTTCATATCGAAACTAAAATGTGATTTATAGTACTGGAAACAGTGTCACGAAAAAGTCTGTGTTAGAATTTTATTCATCGAAAAAGAAATAAATAGTAATTAAGAAAAAACTCATTAAAAATACTGTACCACTACCCTGTGATAGATGAGGAATTAAACCCATTCAAGTATAAATGTGTGTTGGAGTAGAGAAAACGATTTTTTCCCTATTTAATAATTAAAAAAAATTTATTCTTTTTTAAACTTAGGTACTGGTCGAACCATGCGTCGGCGACTGTTTTTCCGAGTTGTCACTATCATGAACATTGATCCCTGTAACCCAGGGGTGTCAAACTCGCGGGCCGCATGCTGCCCGAGACGAACATTTTTGCGGCCCAGTCACTATATCCGACGCAAAGTAAAAATAAAATAGAAATTGGAATTAGAAAGGAAACCAGCATATAAAATTATAATATACATAAACTATACGGATCATTTTAAATTGTACGAGCGAAAATGTAAAATTCTAATTGGCTTGAGGTACCAGCCATTCCAGGGATACTGCATTGTATCAAAAATACGCGGAAAAAATTTCAAATCTTAGAACGGGATTTGAAACATGGTTTAGAGATTTTAACTCTTTGGAAGGCAAATTTTGTTTGTTTTCTTCGATTTTCTCAATAAATATAGGCTCAGTACCCAGTAATATGCAAATGGAAGTGATTGAGATTCAGTGTGACTCAAATTTGAAGGCAAAATTCATTGAAGTGGGTGTGCCTGAAATTTACAAATATTTGAAAATACTCGAAAATTGGCATATGAAATTATTTCCATGTTTGGAAGTACTTATGAGTGAGAGCAATTATTTTCTGTTATGAATGGAAATAAATCTCCTGTCCGAAACCGTTTTAATAACGCTCAGGTTGGGTCAATTTTGAAAGTAGTCTCGGCCAATAAAATTTCTTCCGAAATAGGAAAGATAGTAGCAGAGAAGAGATGTCAAATATCAAACAATAATTTTGCTTTATATATGTTTATTACAATGTACTATTCAAAATAAAAATATTTGTTTCTATGAACACTGATTTTTTTTTCTTTTTTTGCGGCCCACCTAAAGTTAAGCATTGTTTATTTAGTATTATTATTATATTAATATCGCTATGTGTTGTCAAAAAATATAACAATATTTATCAATATATCGCGATATTTTCCCAATTTCATTAATTTCTATTTTTTTGCTTTCGTTAATATTTTCGTTACCCAAATAAAATATATTAACAATCATAATATCGTATTATCGGATATTATATTTATGATACGTTACGTTATAGATAATGATCACGATAATACCGTATTTGATACTTATAGTGGTTATCAATAATAATTGCTGTTTTACCGTATTAGATGTTTATTTTTAGCGTTAATAATTTCTTATCGTCAGGAATTTTTTTTATGCTGTTAGTTAATAATTATTTTTTGTGCACTCGTAATGTAACGATCTTCCGTTATAACGTCTCTTTTCGTCTTGACCACGATGGACGTTATACCTAGCACCGACCGTACGATTTTAACATTTAACGCACCGCGCATGAACGGAGAGAATAACGCTTTGTTTTAGTAGAATATAATGAGGGCTCCCACGTTTTCGGGGAGAGCAGGGAAACCCTGAAATTGTCAGGGAATTTTATTTTAACTCTAAAAAGCAGGGAATAGTCAGGGAAAGCTGCAATTCTTTGCAAAAAATTTGGAAAATTCTTATATCATACCTGGAAAACAACCAGTCCTAGAATTGTCAGTAAAAGTAGGTACAGTGCCCGCCGCTAATAAAATCACTGGATAATAAAATCAGCCGCTTTATAAAATCAAATCGGCAAGAACCGAATCGTTACTATATTCTTTAATAAAACACACATTAACATTCTTTAATAAAATCAGTGCCGCCGTCTTTTAAAACCAAAATTTTGACTACATAATAAATGAAAAGTGCAATATTTCAGCTTTTTTTGTTCTTATTTATAAAATTTTATTTTTTACCTTTTGATTCGTAACGCATGGGACATTATTTCAACCCAAAAAATATCAAATTGCTTTAAAAAGTGTGGATTGAGCACTGGCGATGGAGCTGATAACTGTTTCGAAGACTCAGCAATGAAGAAAATGAAATGGACGAGAATTTTTCACGTTGCGTAGCTATTGACGATAAACCTGCAAACATCAGGAGAAAAATCTGATTCTGAAATTGTTACAGACATCAAAAATTGCTAAGTTATTTCCAATCAAGAAATGAAGGAATCAGACTCAGAAGATGAAATAATGTTGCCATCTTCAATAGAAGTAAGAAACGCACTTAATGTATTGCGGCAAGCTTTAGAACAAAGAGGAGGAAATATCGAAAACTATAAAAACTTCTATGAACTCTCAAATGATGTTGAAAAGTTAATTTTAAATACTGCACTTCAAGCAACCATTGATCGGTTTTTTCCAAAAATTTTGTAAATTTAATCTTATGTAGGGTTTTACTTTATTAAAATAATTAAATTAGTTAAAATAAAGCATTAATGTTGTCATTATTTCAGCTTTTAAAGTGTGTGCATTTAGAATACATCGTAAAAATGTGATTTTTTTTTTCTTCAAATGTTGAATCGTCTCTTAATAAAATCAGCCGCTTAATAAAATCAAAATAGCATAAAACGAAAGTGATTTTAATAAACGGTGGGCACTGTAAACA